AAAGTTGAAACATTTTCAAATTTTCATCGCTGTCGCTCGGACGAGGACCAATCAACGGAGGTTTCATTCACTGACCAATGAGCGGACAGGATGCTCCGTACATCTCCGAGCAAACATGGAGGAGAAGTTGATTATTATTATGTTTTATAAAGTAAAATCACAAGTAAGATTTCACATAACTCTAGCAGCATCTTCTGCAACATCATATCTACTGCTTTATTAACTCTGAACCGCTTAAATAACCTTAATTCCCTCCAACCTGACACAAAACAACGGAAGGCAAAACGGAACGGCAAAACAACGGAACGGCAAAACAACGGAACAGAACGCGTAGACGGCTTTGCCGCTGGCCGCTGCCGCGGATCGCCTCCCGTGTGTCAGGTAATAAAAGCGACAGCGACAAATTTAGCTGATCGCGGTCGTTTGTCGCCTCCCGTTTGTCGAGCCATAATATTTTTTTCAATTGGCTTTTAAAAATAATTTCAGCCGAAGGCCGATGTAGAAAAGATGGAATACATCGGCCCGATATATCAGGCTAACCCTACTCTTAATTATTTGTAAGAGAGTGAAAAACCAACAAGCACACACTCAGTCCAGATCTGTGGGCTCAGGCTGTGGCTGCTGAACGTTATTGATGACCGAGTGTCCAAATTTAAGGTTATTGCGTCGGTTTTCAGCTGTTTACAGGAGGTGAAGTGGAAAAGCTCTCCATTCAGACGGCTGCCATCAATCAATGACATCTGCTCTCTGCCTGCACACTGTCTCGCCTGTACACCCAGACAATGACAAAAACAGGGACTCCACCACACACACACACACACACACACACACACACACACACACACACACACACACACACACACACACACACACACACACAGTTGTGCCTCCTCTGCCCTTTAGACTCACTCCTGAGTTCCTCACATGCAGAACACAGACGGTCTTATGATAATGTCACTGGCAGCCTCCTGAGGGTCATTTCCCTGCTAAGCAGAATGCTGATTGTTCAGCCTCAGAGGGAATTTTTCTCCTGCTGAAATGTTCCAGTGTGTTTTTTGACAACGAGAGAAGAAAAGTGACCCTTACTTTTGAGGCTGAACTCCAAATGACTCTTCAAAATTTGCACATATAATTATTAAAAAAAACCACTCCCATCAGCCAGAGCCCCATTTGACGACTCCATGTGGCCGTCTCTCCTCCGTGCCTCAGGTTTTCCTTGCTCGAGGCTCAGCTACAGGGCTTGCCTAATGCTGGTGTCACCATTAATAACAAATGCCACCTTCTGTCATGACCTGCAGCATCATTAGACACACATAACATTAAACCAGTCTAATCCTCTACATGAAACCCGAACAAAACCATCCTGTTTTAAACCAGATTCTACATTTTATGAAGTAATTCCTTCCACTTCATCATCTCTCACTAGTTTTGTGATAACTGTTTTTTTAAACAGCAAAACAATCAGATATAAATAACCAAATGGGGCATTTTGTCATCTCATGCTTTATTCAGAATGCATTTAAATGTCAAAAATAATCATACACATCGTGACCGTTTCATTCATGAACCAGCTTTTTCCAGAACGTCGTGCTGCTTGTGCGATCTCAGGCTTCTGCACCCCCCCCCCCCCCCCCCCCCCACCCACCCACCCCCCCGTGCCCCTATTCCCAGCAAGAACCTAAAACTTTAATGAGTGTGTTATGGCTTGTTCGCGGCCATTGTTCTGAAAGGCCAGGTGATGCAAACTTCAAATATTAATGTCCCAATGATCAGTGGTGGTCCAACTACATAATGATCACTAAGACAAAGGGGGTTATTCCTTTAAAAGCCGTCTTTTCAGTTTGAAAATTTTAGCAAATTAAGCGTTGTGAAAAATCTCATAAGGATTATATTAATAATAATAATCATCATCATCAAACTTAAATAGTGCTTTTAATGATACTCAAAGATGCTTTCATACTCTGTCACATTCACACACTGCTAGTGATGGTAAGCTACTTTGTAGCCACAGCTGCCCTGGGGGCGGTCTGGCAGAGGCGAGGCTGCCATTTGGCGCTATCGGCCCCTCTGATCACCACCAGCACAGGCAAATTGGTTGAAGTGTCTTGCCCAAGGACACAACAGCAGAATACCCCTGGCAGGAGCTGGAATCAAACCCATGACCCTCCGATCATTAGTCAACCCGCTCTACTTCCTGACCTACTGCTGCCCCGTTGAGCCACACCTTGTGCCACGAAGGGGTTTATTTGATATATTTCAATAATTAGTGTCAAAGTTGCAAACATGGAGGTTGACTCCATGAAGTTGCCGGTTGGAGCTGCAGGTGTAGTAGTCTTTAAGTTTGGATAACAGCTGCTCAGGGATAGTCATGTGTTGACGAAGGACTGTGGCTCTGGGGTTAAAAAGTTGCCCTGTAACCAGAGGGTTGTCGGTTGGAACCCTGATCCTATCCCTGTCAGTCGTTGTGTCCTTGGCCAAGACACTTGCCCCGCCTTGCTTGATGGCGGTGGTCAGAGGGACTGGTGGTGACTGGGTACAGCAGTCTCGCCTCTGTCAATGCCCCGGGCTACAATGTAGCTCATCACCGCTGCAGTCTGTGTGTGTGTGTGGGGGGGGGCGGCACACACACACACACACGGCTCTTTGGAGCCTTCTGACTCAGAAAAGTGCAACACAACTACAGGTCATTTATCTGCTAAAGAAAAAACCTCGTGTAAGCACACCTAAACAGGCTCATCAGCCTTTTACCTCTTGGTGGAAGACAGAAAACTTCATTCTAAACTTGAGTAAACAAGGAATTTCTTGGACTAAATGGAGAAAGGTTAGTTGCTGTGGCAAACCCCAAAGGGAAAAGCCAAAAGAGAAGAAGAATACTTCTGTGGATAAGTCTGTCAGATCAGAACAGTTTCTGATTAGAATGATTGATTTAGCATCTTTGGACCTATCTGAAAACAACACCACCTACGGGTATCAAGAAGCCCCCAGCACTAGAAACTCTTGGTAGTGTGGCAGTACTGTTTACTAGATTTCTCAAGAGGCCCAGATACTCTACCTGCAACTGAAATGACCTAATGGACCTGAAGTCTGACACCAGCTCACCTGACATGATCCCATGATTACAACACTCGGTCTGAGCTCGACTAAACCAGAGCTTCGTTTAGGGCTTCTTTCCAACACTCTATGGAGGAATAATCGTTTGTCGTGGCTGTCTCATTTCAGGCACTTTCTCCTTTCCTTCTCCATCTCCTGCAGCCATGATAACAGCCACACTAAAGATCCCTCTTTCTCTCTATTGTCTGAGCCCAACTCAACCTGCCCAGTTAACTTCATTAACCTGCCACACTGACCTGACCCAATCCATCGGTCTTACTTGGGCTTAGGTTTAAATTGAGAACTCTGTTGTTGACTCCCACCAAGGAAATATGTTTGATGACTTGTTAGACACAAACAGTTCAAAAACACAGCGAGTCAGGGTAATGGGCTACCCTAAATTGGCCCTAGGTGTGAATATAACCCTATGGACAGGTGACCTGTCCAGGTTGTACCCCACCTGTTACCCAAAGAAGGTAGCAGCCAGATCCCTTTTAGAGAATGAACTGGATGCAACTTATCTCCACTTCTTTTTTTTTTCGTTTTTTTTTTTTGTCATTGCAGCGTGAATAGACAACATTTCAATTCAATTCAATTCAAGTTTATTTATAAAGCGCCAAATCACGACAAGAGTCGTCTCAAGGCACTTCACATAATAAACATTCCAATTCAGGTCAGTTCATTAAGCCAATCAGAAATAATGTTTCCTATATAAGGAACCCAGCAAATTGCATCAAGTCGCTGACTAGTGTCAGTGACTATACAGCAATCCTCATACTAAGCAAGCATGCAGCGACAGTGGAGAGGAAAACTCCCTTTTAACAGGAAGAAATCTCCAGAGAATCCTGGCTCAGTATAAGCAGCCATCCTCCACGACTCACTGGGGGTCGAGTAGACAGAGCAGGCTCACACACACACACACACACACACACACACACACACACACACACACACACACACACACACACACACACACACACACACACACACACACTAATACAAGAACAAAAGTCCAACTTTCCTTGCTCAAGTTTGTTTGAAACCAAGATAATGTAGAGACGTCTTAGGGGTGTTTCTGAAATCACGCCCATGTGGACAGACACTTTTCTGTATTCATATGGATGATGTTGCACTTTTTAAAACTCCGAGTTCATATAGATTTAGGTTTGCTTTTTAAAATCTCCATAGTAGAGATTTTTCTGGTGTCTGCAGCACTGTGATAGTGAGAAGTTGGAAGGTGGACTAGCTGCCACCGCTCGGACAACTGTTTATATTTTTTCTTCTTTCTATCATCGTCAAACGACACTTTCTCATGTGACCCATCCAAACCCATGATATTTTCTTTGACTCTTACCTGAACTTGCACCTCTACATCAATCTGCAAATTGTACATTTAAATTCCTCACTGTTGCACCAGTCCCAAAAGGCCCTGAACCTCTGTGTTTGACTGACGGGTGATGGCACCTCAGATTAGACAGCAACAGCAGCTAGAAATACGCTGATGTGAATCGGAGTGGGAGTTCAGCACTGACAGAAGTCATAGAGAAGTTCCCGAGAAGTATGACATGTTTTAAAAGCAGCCTCATCTCAGCAATTCGGTCTTAAAGCTTGACGAAGAGAAGTACAGAAAACGTCATTTTTATGAAGCAGATCTTTCCAGAAGTTTGCCCGTCTTGCTCTGATTTCCTGTGAGTCTACTTTCCGTACGTCCTACACAAGGTCAACGTCGACTCATCTGTCTGTAGTATACTGCAGAGACACCCTTCTTTTTTTTCTTTACACACTCATTTGTCCAACTTTGTATTAGTGTGTGTGTGTGTGTGTGTGCGTGCGTGTGTGTGTGTGTGTGTGTGTGTGTGTGTGTGTGAGGCAACCGTTTGACTTCTTGCTTCTCTGTTACTGACTTTCAGATTGTTGAACAAGGAAAGAATGCAAAGAGCTACCACTACATCCTCGCCAACCTGGTAAGAAGTGCTTCTCTGTAATCTATGCAACGGTTTTACCATCAAAGTGTGTGTTCCTTAGAGGAAGGTGTATTACTAAACAGCTTTCATGCTTCAGATCTAGACTCAGGACATCTGCTGTTATAGCCGTTTTGTCTTGTCAACAGAAAGAATATGTTCAGCCCGTTGTTACTTTCTGACACTTCCATGAACATCTGTCGATGAGATATTTTTCCAACATGTTGTTGAATCAGTTAAAGCTCAGGTTGTGTGTTGGGGAGCACTCTGATAAAATAGGGAGGACTTGTCCCCCCCCCCGGGTATAACCTGTATTTGTGTCACCTCTAGGGTTGAATATTTAACCTTAGGAAAACTATGTGTATTTAAAATATTTCAGGTGACTGAAATTCTGTTTGTTTAAACAGAAAAATACACGGTACTCTCCTGCAACTGGCTTGTGTATAGACAGGATAAGCATTCAAATACCAGGACAATCTTTGTACACGTTGATAAACATACGATCTGCCGAGCTTTACCTTAGAGCTAGGGTATGACGTTGAAATTGTTTAAATGAACTTAAAAAGCGCACTGACACTCAGTCAACTTCACATACCAATGTAGCTTGAATGCTAACTTGATATTTACTGCATTAATGTCCATCTGTAAGCCAAGCTAACTGTGGAAGAGGAGGGAGAGGAACGAAAAGGGATTCACGTTTAGTGTATTGGAGCTAAGTGTTTAGCGTAGCATTCAACCTTGGGTCACACTGGATTATCGTTTAGCCTGTTGTAGCATTAGCAGGCTAGTAGTGTGTTACCATTGCAATTGCCAGATTTCTGATGATTTTAGATGTTTTCCTGCTTGAACACTGCAGGTTGGATTAAAATGAGTCATTAGCTGCTCCTGCAGAACCTGATGAAGGCTGAGGAGAATCAGGTGTGTCTGAGCAGAAACATTTTAAAAGCATTACTCGTCCGTTGGTGTTACAAGGCATTGAAGTTTGCTTTAGTTTCATTTGTAGTTTGTAACACATGGTCTCCTCATCATAATTACAGAGGGCATGGAAGAGGATTAGGAGTACATGGAGCTGGCTTTGTTTGGCATAATTTAGAAACAGTTGTTAAAGGTTTTCATATTGAAGAATTTTGTACAACACTACGATGATAAAATACAAGCAGTTGTATGTATGTATCATATTTATCAAATATGGTTACATATTGGGAAATAATATATATTTAATTAAAAAGCAATTAAATAATTATTAAACACTCAAAAGTATCGAAAATTGGTACCGTTAAGTACTGGTATCGACTCGTAGGTACCGGGAATTGGCACAGTATCGATTCAAATATGAAAGATGTACTCATCACTGACTGAAACAGATTTCATTCTTTTTCATCTGGATGGAGGCCAGTTGTTCTCCTTCGTAAAAAGCTGAAGAGGGAAAAAGACAAAGACAGGAAGAGTCTCTGTGAACTAGTGGTGTTGCCAAGTCTGTGCCGACAAATGCTGCTGTGCCAGCATTTGTTTTTCGACACAGGCCAGCAAAAAAAACCAGAGTTGTAGATAGTTAGGCAGTAAAAAGAGCAGCTCAGTTATTCCTTGTAACCCTAAGAACCCATGGCATCCTTTTTGTTTTTCTCAAGGAGCAAACTCTTCATCTTCATGAGAGCGGGGGATTCTCCCTGAATTCACTAAATACTGGATCATTTTCGGTCAATAATAATTCAGGAAGACGGTGGGAATGAGGAGTAAAATAGTTTACAGTTTTTCAAACTGTTTCCAGCCCGAAACGGAAGACTTGACAGGTGTGATCCTGATCCTGTGGATGAACTGTGAGCGAAGGCTTTCACATCACAGCTCCGCCGTTCCTGGTTCCGAGTGTGACTTCTAGTGTTCTGCGCATGCGGGTTGCGTTGGGGCCGTGGAGCGTTCACACTGGAGAGAGTTAGATGTCGTATTTCAGTCACCGTGTGAACAGCCACACAAAAAAATCAGATTTACTGAAAAAATCAGAATTGAGCATGTCTGTTTGACTGACAAGTAGCAGATGAGCTAGCGGTTTACGCACCGTCTTTCTCCAGGGAAGGCCTCAGCCTCGGCTTTTGTTACAGCCTAGAAGGCAGAGGGGAGCAAAGCGGCTCAACCGTGATTTTCTAGCACCTTCTAGAGTCCTGGAACCCCCCAAAGTGCTTTACAACACAATCAGTCATTCTCCCGTTCACACACACACACATTCACACCCTGGTGATGATTAGTTACATTGTAGCCACAGCTGCCCTGGGGCGCACTGACAGAGGCGAGTCTGCCGAGCACAGGTACCACCGGTCCCTCCGACCACCAGCAGCAGGCAAGGTGGTTTTAGTGTCTTGCCCAAGGACACAACAACAGCGGCAGACTGAGCGGGGCTCGAATCTGCAATCTTCCAACAACGAGGAGAGCACTCCTGTGCCACCATCGCGCCTTAAAAGGGCGCCGGCCAACCTCCGTTAGCTAAGTTAGCTTGTAGCTACATCGGCTCACACCCTGATGTAGGGCTCCATTTCAGCTCCTTTTTTGTAAATCCACTAAAGCACGCTAAAGTTTAGCACTTTCCTGCTTATCAGCTGTGTCAGCCAGCTTGAATTGAATCAACTTTACAATTGAATCAGTTTCAGACGAACAACTGGTGAAAAATACGTGTTCTTCTAAGATTCATAAGGCAATTGCCGATAGACTTGTTAATGCATGCAAAAATGTTACCATCTGCCTTGCCCCGTTTGGCAGCCGCTGACAATACAACTTACACACATTCTCTACCTACTTCATACTTCTGTTGAATTTAGAGGGCCAATATCGAAGCGTTCAACAACACGTCTGACTTCCAGTTCTTAATCATCACTTTATTAGACTTGTGGGTGCTCGATAAATTAAGGTGGAACTATCTGGTTTTACATCTTCCACCATTTTCCACTTGAGCTGTTCTTTCTTTGTGAAATCCACGAAATATGACAGCAGTTCAGGAGCAGCCTAAAGAATAGAGGGAGGGAAGAAGTGTGAGACAAAAATGTGTGCAGACTTCCTTTGACAGAAAAGGGTCAGGCAGCTAGTTTACGTGCGCCGTAACCATTAGCTCTCTCTTTTGTTTGCTGCCGTTCTAGACCACTAAATCACTCACCTAATGCTGCCAAATGAAGACAGAACTGACACCAACACAAGCTGCAGCTGTAACAACATTAATATGCAGCCGCTGCCTCCGACAATTTCTCACCGCGCAGGCTTTAGATTGGCTGAATCTCTCTCGTCTGGCCAGTTTGCCAGATTTAATTTTAAACGATAAGATGTGGAGGTGAAGAATGGCTGATCCATAGTCTGGCCCACAATGGGCCTGTTTAAAGGCCGGTACAAGAAAAAAATTCAATAGAAAATCAAGGACTTCTTCTTTGTCCTCGCACCTTTTCAGAACGGGCCTATTAGCGTATGCGTCCTGCACCTGTGTGAACATCCAAACGGCGTAGTTTGATTCAACACTTAAATGAGGTTACGGTATCTGTCGGGAACGCACCCCCTCAGTGTCCAGTGTTACCAAAGGCTGGTTTCTATAGTAACCTACTCAGCTCGCTGCGCAGCATTAGCTCATTCGTGGAGCAAAGAAAAGACACAGCTCTTCCTGTTGAGCTGAAAAATACACCTGACAACACACACACACACACACACACACACACACACACACACATGTGCGCAGGTATTTTAGGAGGCAGGAGGGATGTGTGACGTTCTTTCGGCCGGACATAAAAGGAAAGCTTTAAACTATTTAAGAACTTTAAGCTAGTCAACAGCAAGCCTTCTTTATTCGTCTGCATTTGTTTTGACTGTATGAATTTTGAGGATCAAAGGATGAGAAACAGACACAAAGCTTCAAACGCTGCGAAACAAATAACGTCAGGACAAAGAGGAAAACGAGAGGCACTCAGCTGACAGAGACAGACACAACCAGGAGAGCTGCTACCTTTTTCCTCTCATCAGTGAAAACTCTGCTTTTAAAAACTCACAGAACACACTCGCTCCCACTTGTCTGCCTCTTCCTCTCTGCACTGACAGGCAGCCTGCTGAGAGCCTCCTTCTCCTCCTCCTCCTCCTCCTCTTCTCTTCCTCTCTCAAAATAAAAAAAAAGTAAATCAGCTACAAGAGTCGGGGGAAGTACGCATATAGGACATACTGTCACAGTTAATCTGCATTTTGCATGAAGTGTGTTGTTTTTCCCAGCAGCCGATATTGTTTTGATCCTTCTGTAGTTTATTGTAGCATCTATGAGAAGCTCTGGGTGGCTCCAGCTGAGAAAACAAACACTGTGGCTTTAGTTTCTGGTTTAGTTTGAATTATTTCAGATAAAATTCATCGTTCAAGAAACAAAACAAAAAATCTGACTCATACACTTCATATTTCACATCTCAGAGTCATTTTAGGGAACAAATGATCCTCTTCAGACTTTATGAGTTTAAACAATTTTTATTTTAAAATGTCCTTCAGGAACCATCAGTTTGGTAGCAAGAACATGTTGCTACTGTACTGGTAATAGAATAAAAAATGTAAAACCAAGATGAATTTGTTTTGTTATTATAATTATTTTACTGGTGAACTGTATAGAGCTCCGGGAGTTGATGTCACTTCTCCCAGCATGCAACAGTTCAAATCGAAACTGCGCCATATTGGCAGGCAGAAGCCCGCAGCTGGGCTATTTGTTATTGTCATAAAACTCAATCAAACGGGAAATATGGTAGATTCCTGTGAGCTGAGCCAGAAAGCCAGGCTCTCGATTTACCGGTCGATCTATGTCCCAATCCTCACCTATGGTCATGAGCTTTGGGTAATGACCGAAAGAACGAGATCGCGGATACAAGCGGCCAAAATGAGTTTCCTCCGTAGGGTGGCCGGGCTCAGCCTTAGAGATAGGGTGAGGAGCTCAGACATTCGGGAGGGACTCGGAGTAGAACCGCTGCTCCTCCGGATCGAAAAGAGTCAGTTGAGGTGGTTTGGGCATCTGGTCAGGATGCCTCCTGAACGCCTCCCTGGGGAGGTGCTTCGGGCATGTCCTGCCGGCAGGAGGTCCCCGGGTCGACCCAGGACACGTTGGAGAGGTTACATCTCCAATCTGGTCCGGGAACGCCTTGGAGTCCTGCCGAAGGAGCTGGTGGAGAAGGCCGGGGAGAGGACGGTCTGGAGCTCCCTAGTTGGGCTGCTGCCCCTGCGACCCGGACCCGGATAAGCGGAGGAAGACGACGACGACGATGACGATTATTATTATTAGTAGTAGTAGTAGTATCAACATTATTATTATTAGTAGTAGTAGTAGTAGTAGTTGTAGTAGTAGTAGTAGTAGTAGTAGTATCAACATTATTATCATTATTATTAGTAGTAGTTGTTGTAGTAGTAGTAGTAGTAGTAGTAGTAGTAGTAGTAGTAGTAGTAATAGTATTATTATAAAAATATTAATTATAATAAATTATTACAAAATCTGAGATCATGGTCTTGAGTCGGAATAGGGTAGAATGTCTTCTCCAGGTCAGGGAAGAGGTAGGTACACATCTTGGTGTCTTGTTCACAAGTGAGTGAAAGATGGAGCGTGAGATCCAAAGGCAGGGTGCTGCATCTGCAGTGATGTGGGCGTTGTACCGGTATGTCGTGGTGAAGAGAGAGCTGAACCAGAAGCCAAAGCTCCCAATTTACTGCTACCTTCCAACCCTCACCGATAGTCATGGGTAACGCCCAAAAGAACGAGATCGAGGATAAAAGCGGCCGAAATGAGTTTTCTCCTCGGAGTGTCTGGGCTCTCCCATAGAGATAGTGTAAGAAGCTCAGTCACTCAGATGTGTGTGTGTGTGTGTGTGGGGGGGGGGGGGGGGGGGGGGGTGTCTTTGTAGACCGGTTGAGATGACTCGGCCATCTGGTTAGGGTGCCTCCTGGACGCCTCCATGGTGATTAAATAAGAACACATTATGACAAGAGATGCAACTATGATGAGGACCTAGAGTGATATCCTGGTATTGCTGTTGGTTAGATATATATGATCCATTTGTTTAGTTTTATAGTGTGTGTGCTTTTCCAAACGAGTTTTGTTCTGGGGCCAATATCTTTAGTCATTAGTTATTTAGTGGTAGAGGCTAGGGTCAAAATGTGGTTGTTGGTTTTTTACAGCAACAGTTGCAAATAAAATAACCCAAAATATCGGCAAAATGTCCACATTTATGTTAAAATAGATGTTTCAATTATATTTTATGGACAATTCATGAGAAATGTTTCATACTTGCTGTCATGCTCCCCTTGCTAGCTGTGGCAAAATGCGCCATCGGCCCCTCTGTCCATAAAGACAGGATCTCTCATGCTACAGCTTACTTTACCTGTACGATTCATTTTTGTCTGTCAAACGACGGATTTACAGTAACCTTGGGTTCATTCTTGTGAATGATTCAGCTAAAAGCACACATTCTGTCAGATATTGTTGAGCAAAGGTCAGAGATCAATGATATTTAAAAGAAAAGATGCATTAGAGGATAAAATGACAAAGTGAAGGTATTTTTCAAAAGGTCAGCCTCACAGTGACATATTGATGTTGTTACAAAGATGGGGAGAGGGTGTCAGGATCTGGTTTTTCTGTCTAATTCCCACTCTGCTGGCGTCTTGCTGTCTGCCTCAGGGGTTCCTCGACATTGACCTGACAGACCTGAGGAAAGGTGGTGCCAACATCACCGGCTTCCAGCTCGTCAACCACTCGGATCCGAGCGTGAGCCGCGTCGCCCAGCAGTGGATGGAGTTCGACAACAAAGATTCTAAAATGCCCAAGACTGGACTCAAAGTAATATACCATACCCCTGATTTCTGGTGTCTAGCCATTAAAATTTGTTCTGGATGCAAATATTTTGAACACGGGGCCTCAAAGTTAAAAAGTATCCGGTCCTTTGGTGAGGTTTCATTAATGGCTTCTAGCTTTTGGTGAATGAATTCTGTTCAAATGCTTAAACATTTCTGCCTCGGCTCTTGTTTCCGTTTAGTTTAAATGCTGCTGCGTCTGTTTGAGTCATCTGCTGTGTGTCTGCAGTACACGGGTGCTCTGACATACGACGGGGTGAAAGTCATGTCCACGGCCTTCCAGAACTTAAGGAGACAGAGGATAGACATCTCTCGCCGGGGCAATGCTGGAGAGTGTCTCGCTAACCCGCCAACCCCTTGGGGACAGGGCATTGATATCCAGAGAGCTTTGCAGCAGGTCCACTCAAACAAACACACACACACACACACACACACACACACACACACACACATACACACGCACACTCGGCACAAACATACAGGAATTCCTGACTGACGCGTCGGCTAACAGCTACTGAGTCGCGGCTGGCTGAACAAATTAGGTCTCATTCTGTCGTGTAAGGTTCACATTAAGTCATAGGAGAAACCCCCAGTATCAAATGTGACATCACGGCTAGTAAACAAAACCTGCAGGCAATATTACTCAGCTGTGATCATCATGGGATATGACACCAACAATTGAGTTTAGAAATGTAATATTTGGCCACGGAAATGGCTGTGGTGGCCTGGCTGAGAGGCTGCTTGATCCCATGGAGACGCTCCAACACTCTCAAGGCAAGGAGAGTTATTTTTCTACTTTAATATCTTTGTAAAGGGCAATTTTTTTATTTGAGACTGGCATTAATATGAAGCTCAGAGGCAGAATAGAAAAATCCGAGTCAGTGTGCAGAGTGAATCCGGCCATCTGCATGCAGACAGACTGAAGATGGAAACACTGTTCGCTCAATTAATTCCATCACCAAGCCAAGACAAACACACTGCACTGTACGTGTCCACACACACACACACACACACACACACACACACACACACACACACACACACACACCGTCTGTCGCTCACCTACGCAGGGATCTGAACTCTGCAGACTTTCAAAAATGATTATTACACAAACACATGCAAACCATTCTCAACCCGTGCTGCATTCTAACTGTGACATGTGAGTGTTTGCTGGTGTTTAACCACATGCTAGATAGGCTTGAGCCTCAGCGTTACCCCCTTCTGTGTCTCCACCACCACGACAGGTCCGTATCGATGGACTGACGGGTCACATTCAGTTTAATGAGAAAGGCCGCAGAACCAACTACACTGTCTGTGTCATGGAACTGGCTCCATCTGGACCCAACAAGGTGAGCGTGAAGCGTCGGTTTCAGAAATGCACTTTTGACTAAAGATTTCAGCTCTAATATAGTAACTCCAGGAAAGGTCTGGACCCAGATGTGTCGTGCTAAAGCTACTGCTATGCCTGGGTGGTCCAGGTCAACTAAAAGACACTCTCACAGTGTTTCACTTGAAATGCATACGCATGGTACATGTTTAATAACTATTAGTTTAGGTTTTTATTCTGCAATTAATGGTGCTTTTGAAGTCAAATAAAACAAGGAACTTCCTGTGACAAAACACACTTTTCCTGGAAGAAAAGAAGCGAGACTGGGAATGTCCAAATGGTGTTAGCCTGTTTGTTTCTTGTGCAAGCCTCATGGGGTGAGATGTTCCTGCCTCCAGCATTTGATCGTGAGAGAAAACCAAAAACTGTAAATAAATTGGATGAAGCATCTCATCTCACCTAGAGCTAAAATCATCACATGTAAAAACAAAGTCCCTGATTTGAAATTTACATTTTAGTCAAGAAATGTCTCGTTATTTTGGATGGAGTGGGCGGGGCTTAAGACTGCAGCCATTCACCAGAAGGCGCTTTCATCGCTTATTGTTGCATTTGTGGTGGTACCAAATATGCTCAGCTGATGAGTTTAGGCCAGAAGACATGCAGATGTGATGGGTTGACTGGTTGTCAGTAATCTGTGCACACTCATTTAAGTATTTTTTCACTAAAGCCTGATTTATGCTTCTCCGTCTGCGTCAGTGCGGAGACACGCAACGCCATTATCCGTCCTTGCGTAGGGCTCCGGCAGGCACGCAAGTACGTACGGAGTCGCGCCCACTTTTTTAAACATCCGTCGAACGAGACGGATTACGCAAGCTTGTGATTGGTCAGGACGCCGCTGTTGTTTACAGCGCCGCCATTGCAAAGAGAGCCGAGGATAACTAGCGGCAGACACGGAGAAGCTTGAAGAATACCTCGCGAAAAAACTCTAAAAATATGAACGTTTAATTCTCCCGTGACTGAAGGAGTGAAAAGATGCGCAGCAAGCATTTTATTTGTGGACGGAAATGACAGGAAACGTGGGTTTAGAGGTGGGGAGCGCATGAAGAGGTGGGAGAATGAGAGACAAATATGTCCGTGTTAAAAGTCTCTTATATACACAAAAAACACAATATAAACACACTATCTTGGACCGATACATGACAGGATACCACAGAACAGCGCTACGCCCTCTGTTGACCTGCCGGGCACTTGCTTTGCAACACTCTCCAGGAGACGGAGGAGTATGAGAGCAAAATGCTTCCGTCAATCCGTGCGTGTCTGTCCCTTGCGGAGCTGACGGAGAAGCATGAATCAGGCTTAAGCATTTGCACCTCTTGGAGTCTCTAAACTCCTGTGAAAGTGAAACAGCCCCAAATTTGTGAAAAGCCAACTGCAGAGATAAATCCTCATGTGCCTTGTGACTTATTTCTGAGTGTAAACTTCATCCTGCAGTTCTGAGGCTGAAGTTCCCCCTTTGTGACACGTTCTCGTTTTCTTAGGTTGGCTACTGGAATGAAGAGGAGAGATACGTGACCACAGCCAGCCAAGTGAGGAACAACGACACTTATGGACTGCTGAACAGGACATATATAGTCACGACTATTGTGGTAAGTCTGGGTACAAAAGAGGAGTTTTGAGGGAGGAGAGTGAGTGATGCAGAAGAGACAGAGGCAGTCAGGGTAACACTTTCCATTTTCTTTTCTGATAGAGTTCCTGAAAAGTTCAGTACCCTCGACGATTTCCGTAGACCTCTGAAAGCATTTCTCCCTCTCTTCCTTTCCCGTCAGACTCCGCTCTGCTAACCTCCGCCTGTCTGACGGGTGCCTGCAAAGAATGACGATGACATACAAATAGATTTTTTACCTATTCACTACATTTATTGTTCAGACACATAAAACGCCAGGGCCAGTAGAAGGGACTGGCCATGCTTTTACAGAAGTAGGTAGGGAAAGTAGAGCACTGGACTTGGAAGATGTCAGTGTTTCCTTTATGTCTCCTCCATTTGCTGACCCTCCCATTCAGCAAGGTTGTTTTAAATCTACTGACCAACATACAAACGCCTGAGGTGATGAGGTCCGCAGGTTAGGTCAGGAGGAGAAAGGAGTCCGATTCAGTCTGAGCAGCTGCCATGTGAGGAAACTCCTGATGACAGCAGAGCAGCTGACTACATCTAACAGGAATATAATAAAGATTGATAATGATGTGTTATATCTGCAGATTCTGGCGTTTCTTATCTTACATTCAGTTTTAAAATGAGGTGTAATCACTCCTGTCACCTTATTTTGTTACAGAGAAAGCATGAGAGTCTGATTTTGTTTTTTAGTGATTGGTTTGAACTGTTGAGGGAACATCTTTCATTCATTTTCTCTCTTTTACAAAGTCAGGATAACACACACGGGGTTCAAGGTGCACTCCTACCTCCCGCTGATGATTGATAAAGGACCATGAACAGGTTTCTGGTGTGCCATCTTGGCAGAGTTGGAATATTGGTTTGTTTAAACTTTCTGGTTTCCTGCACAAAATCTGTTGTCAAGTAAGTTTAACAAATTTCCAACAGAGTTTGATGTCCTCTAATGCAGAGATTGAAATGATTGTTCATGCATTCATGTTTTCTTGATTACTGAAATAGTGTGTGCATTACCCTTCACCTGCAAGAGTCCACATCTCTCCAGTTCTTGTGGAACTTCATTGACTCCCAAAGAATTTTAAACCCTTTTTGTAAAACAATGCTGCCAATTTGCTGCAAAAGCTGAGCTGGCATCAGGGAGCCTGTGGCTGTTCGTAAGTGGTCAGATGGTGGTAATGTGGTACAGTTGTGTTCTTTTCACAAAAGGTTAAACCTTCTCAGTGGACTAGTGCAGGGTTTCTCTATTCCGGTCCTCAGGAACCCCAGTCCTGCATGTTTCGCATGTCTCCACTGCTGTACACCTGATTTACACATTTGCATTGCCTTCTCAGGATGACATCAAGTGCTGCAGATGCCTGTTAATCGCTCATTTAAGTCAGGTGTGTGTGGCAGCAGGGAAACACCGGTGTTTGAGAGGGCAACATGGAAAACGTGTAGAGCAGAGGAACCTGAGGACCAGAATTGAAAAACACTGGCCCAATGGTAGACTATCCGTCCTGGGACTGGGAGATTGGAGTTCAAATCCCGGTTGGGTCATACCGGGGCAGCAGTAGCTTAACAGGTTGAGCGGGTTGTCCAGTAATCTGAAGGTTGCAGGTTCGATCCCGGCTCTGGACAGAGAATTCTGCTGTTGTGTCCTTGGGCAAGACACTTAACCCCCCCTTGCCTGCTGGTGGTGGTCGGAGGGACTGGTGGCGCCTGTGCTCGGCAGCCTCATCTCCGTCAGTGCGCCCCAGGGCAGCTGTGGCTACATTGTAGCACATCACCATTGTTGTGTGAATGTGTGTGTGAATGGATGAATGATACACTGTAGTGTAAAGCCCTTTGGAGACCTTACTCTGAGAGGCGCGTTACAAGTGCGGGTCATTTATCATAACAGAGACTTTAAAAATGGGACCCAATGCCTCCCTGCTTGACACTCAGGTTTAACAGTTGGATTGGGGGCTAAACCACCAAATAGTTCACAAGTGCAGCCACAGCTGCAGCTCAATGCTCCCCACTGGGATGGGTCAACTGCAGAGATGAACTTCGCCAGTGTGTGATGACGTCTAATGGCACTACAAAAGGGGAGTGGTCTCTGTGTTGTCATGGACTTCCTTTTAGCTTGGGTGTCATTTTCATTGTGATTGAAGCGGCGCTCCTGAAGTGTTTTCACAAGCCGCTCTAAAATGTTGCTGTCGTTCACAGTCCTTGTAAACTACCTGGTGATCTGATCTTCAGCTCTAATGGAAGAAGCTCCCGCATCTCTGCATCGCTCCAGTTTGCCATCTCAACTGATTCTATTTACAAAATCAAATCTGCCTGCCCATGTTTTCGTGCTTTTTAATATTGTTGCGGCCATTCCACACAGGATCATTACATCGTCTTCTGTTACACCAAGGTGTGACTTTTATTCAGAAGTCCACCAATGTGGTAATATTAATCAAATATTGTCAAACTTGGTGGCAAAAATGCTACAAAAGTCCTGCATTGCCACGCCACCACAGTGTTTTCATAGGACACACCATGGAAGCGTTCTTGCCCAAAGACATAAAAGGCATGTTTCCACTAGGGCTGAACGATTAATTGCATATGCGATTAAATTGTTATGTGACAAAAGGAGATATTCTAATTGCAAAGGCTGCGATTTGACTGGCAGCGAGTAGTTAGCACAATGCTAATATGCATGGAAAAACCCATAACGATGTCAATGCTAATATCGCCAATTACATTCTTACAAATCACGAATTAGGAACGTACCAAACGATTACATTTGGAGTCTAATAAAAAGTAAAAACTGTCATCAATCAAATAAGTACAGACAGATATTTTAGTAAAGCTAGAAAACCGTAAGAGACTTTAACGCCACAGAGTTTTGGCCAGCAGCAATGAATATAGCTGAACTACGGAAGCTCTGCATGGACAAGACGTCAAAAACTCTAAACACAAAAGACTTCAATAAAGGGACACACTTCTTTCCTGCTAATACATTTTCACAGTTGACGCTAATACCTATGCTCCTTCAAGGGATGTGCTGCTGGCTGCAATGCATTGCACCTTCAAATACAACATTTTGGAGGCAAATAAACTTGTAGATATGTTATGTAGATAAATATGTAAACTTGTTTAAATTCAGTACAAGTTACATTGTTTTTCTTTGCTTCTGTTAGTTGAAAAATATGAGAAAAGCCCCTTGAGAAAATAATCGTGAATTAAATCACAATAGCGATATTGAAGAAAAAAATCGCAATTAAATTATTTTCCAGAATCCTTCAGCCCTAATAGCAGCAATGTTACGCTGATTTGCCGGCATGAAACAGCAGCTAAGCAGTTTATATAAGAACTCTTCTTCTGTTTTAAGACCTAGAAACTTATGAATACTCCTTAGCACCCCCTGAAGTCACAAATTATTCTAGGTTGCAGATTTTTCTGTAACACCAGCAACAAAATCCATATTTTTCTCTAGATCAAGCTAACAGAACTCCATCTGCCTGCGTCACATCTGGTTTGGCAGAAAAAACATTTTTCTCAGAAAAACAACTCCCAAAGCCTAAATAATGTATCCATCCATCCATCCATTTCCTTCCGTTATCCTATTTGAATACTCAAATGTTTCCACGTTTCAGTCATTTAGCTGAGGATTTCAGGTGAATCGGAGAGTCCTTACTGAGCCAGCATGGTGCTAGCAGCACAATTCTTGATAGTTCTGGTCTGGTATTGGGCAGCTGAGGATGATGTTTACTCCTGTGTAGAAGTTTTTTCTTTCACTTGTCCATGGTGATGTTTCTTCAATGTGACTTCAACATCACTGCAGACATTTCCAGCAACCACCTTCTTAATCTCCTGCTCCCTCGTTCTCTCACTTGTAAACACGACCCCAGAGAAGCATAAACGCTTCCACTCAAGGTAGGACCTCTCCCTCGACTCACAGTGAACAATCCGCCTGTTTTCAATTTGACAAAGGTAACGTGTACTCCGGTCAGTTCAGTTTCTTATTAGACGATGCCAGTAGAGCTACTAGGCAAAGATTTGACTGTTTATGTAATTTTTGTGCTCCTGCGTACGTGTATTGTATTTTCCATGGATGAATGACAGCAGATCTCAGTCGAACAGTTCAGTCAATGAGATTGAATCCTGAGGGAGTGTTTGTAGGTTGTGTGTGTGTGTGTGTGTGTGTGTGTGTGTGTGTGTGTGTGTGTGTGTGTGTGTGTGTGTGTGTGTGTGTGTGTGTGTGTGTGTGTGTGTGTGTGTGTGTGTGTGTGTGTGTGTGTGTGTGTGTGTGAATGAAAATCAAACCAGACCTTTCCCTTCACTGCCTCCCTGGTGTGCCGTTTTTCTACCAGCAGTAAGGGGGAGCTGGGGGTGGGGGAGATTGTGAAGCAATGATTTTCTTCATATACTGAAAAAACACCCTGAAGAAACCCGGTCTACTCCTCTAGACCCCCTCATGTTGCCAGGATCTGCTCGGCTCAACAAACGCTTTGCTAAAAACAGAATCATGTAACAGCTTGTGGGAATTGCCGCCTTCCCTAGTGGAAGTTTCAGACTGAGGTGACTGAAATACTCTATGATTTTTTTTTTCTGAAAGTGAAGTGTGCCCCCAGGTGTCATGTCAGCTGTAATTTCTCTGGCTAGTCAATAAGCGTGAGATGTATAAATGCTGGTATGACAAGAAAAACAGGCTGATCTCAGAAACGGAGGTTACGTGGGCTCAGTCCCACACACTCCTACATGGTTACTTCTTTAGATCAGATCTAAAATCCTCACACTTTTGGTAATTCTGTCCCATTCTTCTGCTATCTTGCAAAGCACCACATGTTATCAGATCTCGTCATTGTTGCAATGGCATCATAATGATAATACTTGGGTTGCTTTTGTGCTGGAATAAAGCATGATTTCTTCAAGGAATAAAGCCAGAGTGATTACTTATTATTATTATCTTTCACGATTGTGGGACTGCCCCCCCCCCCCCCCCCCCCCCCCCACACACACACACACAAAGAACTCTGTCCTGTAAAGGTTTATTGTTCTAATGAAACCATGATGCTTTCTTGGATTGCCTGAGCATTTTGTGGCTCTTTTGTAAAAAGGGCTTCTGTTGAATCTGGTCAACTGAACTTTTCCACCCAAAATAATTTATGATTGACTTTGTGAAGACTTTAGATAAGCACACAAGTTGTGAAAGCAACATCAGCTATACAAGCTACAAACATAGTAATTAAAAAAAATCACGTTTTACAGATGCCTGTATGCTCTGTCATTATATCCTGCATGTAGCCTCTGACTGAAGACACTCTTGTTGAGTAGTCTTGTGTCTCTGGTTTTTCTCTAGCTGCCTCTTTACCTGACTGCTGGAAAAAAAACAGGCAAGAGGGGGAGGTGAGGGGAGCACCAGCATCTCCTGAAGTGATTTACAGAACAAAGGCGAACGCTCACAAGTGATTAAGAAGGCTAGGTGAAAACAACGGTGCCAAATGGTGGCTTTCTGGTAGATTGAGGGGCGATGGAGCCAATTGGCGGCTCTCTGGGAGTTCTGGTGTTAAACCTCAAATGTTAAAACTGCCATGATTCCGTTTGCATCATGTAGAGTCTCAGAAGTTATTCTCAGAGTTATTTTAACATCTACAGCAAAGTGGGGGGAAATCTGAGTCACTGATTGATTTCTGTATCCAACAGGAGTCTCCGTACGTGATGCTTAAGAAGAACCATGAGCAGCTTGCGGGGAACGATAAGTATGAGGGCTACATTGTCGAGCTGGCTGCTGAGATCGCCAAGCACGTGGGCTACCAGTACAAACTAAAAATTGTCTCTGATGGGAAGTACGGAGCCAGGGATCCTGAAACCAAGATGTGGAACGGCATGGTCGGGGAACTGGTGTACGGAGTGAGTAAAGATTCCCAAGTACATTATTAGACTTTAGCACATTGCTGCTCGCCCTACAAGATTTAAACAAAAGCTAGCTGCTGAAAAAGCGCTAACTCATATGATGGTGACGACTGCTGCAGTGAATTATACTACCTTGATGTCCCACGATCTCCTGATCATGCAAGTCACAACATGGTTTTGTCATTTTTGGGACTAAACTGATGTAAACAACACAAGCTCCAACAGTAGAAAATACCTGAATGGTTTACCATTTATATCAGTGACAACAACCATTCAACCGAATAGAACAAAGATCCGTAGTCTTTGCACCCTGACCAACAGACCATGTAACAAACCATAGCATGGGCTATAGGGACTTCACTATGGAGGCGCCTAATCTAAACAATGCCCAAGCCACCTCACCTCACCCCTAAAGCCGGGCATACACTGTGCAACTTTTTCACTTTTTTGAGCCAATTTTCCACTCGTGCGAGAATCCACAAGATCTGGGCGAGTTTTGCGCGGAGCGTCGTGTAGTGTACAGGGGGTTACGAGAGGCGATTAACACCACGTGACCAGCTACCGATCAGCAATCATGACCTCGCACGGACTTCTGGAGTGTTTGATATTTTGCTTGTTCCTCGTGAGGGTTGAAGCGACGCAGCGAGCGGCTGCGACCCAAAAAGTATCAACACCGCTCACCCGCTAATTCCCTAATAACACACGTTGTTCGTTTTTATTTCTACACTTTTTTTACTCACAATGGCAAGGATTGTCAAGAAAGTGTGTTTGTCGTGTTCATGTCAAATTAAACTGATCACAAAACAGATTTACTTTCTTTATTTGGTTTTCCTCATCCAACCCCCATAAATCCCTGTGTGTCCTCCTGCAGCACTCCCGAAGGACAACAGGCAAAATAAGACAAAAAAGTCTGACGTGTTGTGTAAAAACTGCTATTTTTAGCATATTTTTAGGTCCGACGTGTTGCTACCAGACGTACAGTGTGAGCAAAAGTCCTTTATCATTTTGTTTTCAACAAACTCCTCCTGAGGTGTTTGCCTCGGTGACCACCTGACCCACATTCCGTTTGGACTGCCGGTACCGATCAGCTGCCTCTGGAGTCCCACAGGCCTAAAAGACCTTATAGGACTCCTTGTCCAGCTTGACTCTATCCCTCACTGCCAGTGTCCGCCAGCAGATTTGAGGGCTGCTGCTTTGACAGGCACCAGCCACCCTGCAGCCACAGTTCTGGTCACTCAGACTCAATGTCGCCTGCTTCCCACAGTACATGTTCAAAGTTCTGCTGGAGGTGGGGATTGAAGCTCCTCCTGGAGACTTTGCCTGATGCACCCTCAGAATATGTTTGGGCCTGCCAGGTCTGACCGGCATCCTCCCCCACCAATGGCTGCCATTGTTATATGAAGAGCATTGCAAGCAATATGACAAAATGTTTTCCAGAAAATAATCTCAGACTGTACATGTAATAGCTGAATATTGGATTTGTGAAAATATTTTCTCTTGTGATAAAATCAAATTCAGGTTGCCCGACCCGTCAGCTGAACTGCTCAGCTGATGGGTTGTTGGACTCGTAAAGTGTCTATTTTGTGTAACATGGACAAGTTCATCAGATGAATATATGGTAAATAATTGATCTATTCCCTGGGATTATCCCAACCTAAGACTGACAGCATGGAGTGATTTTTTTTCCTCTGTTGACTGAAAAAGCAGCACTCCTAAAGGTCATCTGTGAATGTCTTGGAAGCCACAATAAGTACCAGGAAATCTAATCAAAGGCAGATTGGGGTGTTTATATTTTGCGGGTGCTCTTGTAAGTCTTAGGAAGGACTTTTGTAAATTCTACATTTTAACACTGTTTTTGCATCTTTGTGTGTTTGTGCCTCTCCGTCAGAAAGCAGACCTGGCAGTGGCTCCTCTAACTATCACTCTCGTTCGTGAGGAAGTGATAGACTTCTCCAAGCCCTTTATGTCTCTGGGTATTTCCATCATGATCAAGAAACCTACCAAATCTAAGCCTGGCGTGTTCTCGTTTCTGGACCCACTGGCTTATGAGATCTGGATGTGCATCGTCTTTGCCTACATCGGCGTCAGCGTTGTCCTTTTCCTCGTCAGTCGATTCAGCCCGTATGAGTGGCACTCTGAGGACTGCGATGAGGGATGCGAGCCACAGACTCCCACACAGGCAGCAGCCACCAACGGCATGCAGCAGAGCCAGACGCCAGCGCAGCAGAATGCCAGTCAGCAGAGTCCAGAACAAACCAATGAGTTTGGCATCTTCAATTCCCTTTGGTTTTCTCTGGGCGCCTTCATGCAGCAGGGCTGTGATATCTCACCACGGTAAGCAACACATTTAAAGTTTTGCTTCCCTGTTCATTTGAAACATTCCCACTCAGATGGAGTCTGTCAGTCCAGATCTGTACAGGGACTTCAGAGTTTGTTTTGTGGAGAAAAATCAGGGCTTAATTTGAGCCGGATCTTGCCGGAACAAGATCCGGGATGTATCTTATTTTGAAAGAACTGTCCGGCAACTGTCTGCTAGGATCCGGCTACTCACGCAACAAACTGGAAGCCCTCAACACACCCAGGGGGGGCCCGAAACGATCCTGGTTCTACTTATATTACATTTTTCATGTGGACTCTGCTGGGATTATTTAGAGCTGAGAGGCGCAAAGCTCTGATCGTTAATGCGCTCCAGACAGATGCGTCCTGAGCACGGCCGCAGTAACATTCTCAGTGTCGCCACCTCAAAAACAAACGTAACACACGATCGTTTATTTCGGCTCATACCCTTTCATGCTTTCTGTCTTTTATTTGTGTCTGATGCGTTTCGCTGCTGTGATGCAGAACGCATCACCTGTTTCATCCTCCGGTGAATTCACCTCACCGGTGTGGCTGGCGTGCACGCTGCTGTTTTTGCGGTCGGTAGATCTTTTAGAACTGCAGTTCAAAGGTAACTCATGAGGTGAATATATATGAACCCAGGTAGCAGTTTCTCTTTAGGATTGAGAGGAGATGCAGGAAGATAATAAACAGGCAGGACAGAAAAATAGTCAAATAAAAACAAGTTAGTTTTTGTACCTGGTGGTTGCAACAAACAGACACCATTGAAGGTAATCAGAAGTGAGGAACAGAAAATGAAATAATTATTTTAATGTTTAGAGCAGCAGGAACTCTGAGAGGCTGCAGGCGCATCAGTGAGTTTGTGGCCGCTGCGCAGGGGAGGGGGTGGGGGGGTTGAAACCATCCCAGGCCACCGCCCAATTCACGCTAAACACTAAAAGTGGGTCAGGTTGGGCGCCTGCTGATGTAAAAGTGTAAAACAACTGAATTAAAACTTCACATGTGCCCTGATTCTTACATCTAAAATATAAATATGTGTGTTCTGCTGCTATAATCTGTGCTTATGTTGCATGAACTGAAACTCTATTTTATTCTGTTATACGTGCTTCCTGCACATTAGATGAAATAGGCCAGACACCATCATCCACCTGAACTACAGGTACCAGACATGTCTGGGTCAAGAGAATCGCACCACAAGCAGAGACATACCGGTAAATGTACAGCCTCAACAGTGGAAGAAGCCTTTTGCAGATGCACACATCTCTGACATCCATATGTACTGACAGACCAGAATATATGGATGTTTTCCTCATAATAGTCATATAAACACCAGTAATAATACGAGGGGTTTAAAGGCTATGAGCCAAAGACAAAGTAAGCCAGAGGTGAAGGTTTATGCAGTTAACTGGAAATGTCGTAAATGATCATCAGGGCTGATGTGAAATCTACTCCAGATCAGTCCAGGTCAGAATGATCATCTCATCTGTCTCAGGATCAGCAGCAGCTGGATGTTTATGGCCACAACATTCCACATGAAGCACACTCCTTTTATGTCTTGTGTTTGCTCACCATCCATATTTCCGTTTAGAAACCGATTCTCCTGCATGGATGCACCTGCCTGTCAGTGTTTAACCACTGGTTGGTCAGCTCATGCTGCTGTCAGTCGCTGCAGGAGTGTGTACGGTGTGGGGAAACAGTCTTAATTTCTCTCCTCTGCCAGAGCTGATGGCGTGCCTCGCGGCAGTGATGCGCCTTTTGTGCAAAATGCGGCCCTTCATGGAGCTCGTGCCAGACTGTGGATGACTGATGTTAGAGGATACACAGATATCTTTTCAAAAATCTCTGAGATTTCGACTAATGAATACCTGGAAAATTTACCGGTATGCACTGTACCCTAGAAATAGTACTAGCATGCTGAAAGGTTATATTTAGAAGTGGCGGCGGTGCAGGTACCGGTCCAGTGCACTGCTCTCTGTCCCTAAAGGATGAGTCTGATCATCAGAACCTGATCATCATGATCCGTTCCTGACAGCCGCTGTTTCTCCCTCCCCAACCCACCCCACTCGTCCAAAACTGGCCCAAAAACTCCACCTTAAACCGGTTCTCCCAACACAACCACATTGAGGCCAGCCTGGACCTGCATCTGTGGTCAGAGTTTTCTTCTATTTCTATCTCTCCTTTTCTGCTCCACCTTTCCTGGCCCGTCTAGGTCCATTTAGCCAAAGGTGCGGTGGTGCTGTAGCACGCTCTGGGGTGGGGGGTGTCTGCAGCGCTTTGCCAGACCCCGACAAAGTGAGAGGAGGGGGGAGTCTTTGTGCCCAGTTTGCTCCGTTTGTGCGAGCATCAGGACAGCAGATGCCCTGATGAGCTGCATGATGGATTGCTCATTTAGATATTACGCACGTCATGACCGGCAATCACCGAGCGAGCCAGTTTAACGGCCAGGACACCAGGAAATCTCCCGTTCCTCTCGATTACCAGTCCGCCACTGAAGAGACGTGTGTTAACTTAGAAAATGTGGGCCGGGTTCCGGCATCTGTTTTGCCTTTAGTGAACTTTGGTTCGACGTCAGTGTTTTAGTTCCGGGAACGTTTGATTTAAAACCGAAGCACTGAGAAAAATATTGCAAAATGTTGAAAGGCGTTTCGGAGGACCCTGGCGTGAGGACGGAGTTCTATGCAATGACTTACATAAAGTGCTCTCCTGGGCTGAGGTATGGAGCTGTCCTCAAAAGGTCATCAATTAAAAATCTCATTATGTGTCTGAAATTAGAGACACTAGGGTCGAGTTTTAGAGCTTTCCACAGGGATTAGGAGGAGGAGACGAGGACATGAATGTCAGTATCATAACTGTAAGAGACCGGGTAGGTCACGAGCTCCTGGGGGTGGGGGGGGTGGGCTGGTTAAATGTCTATTTAAGCTAATTATTTACATGCAGTTTGCTGATGAAGACACATGGTTGCATCGAGGATAGTGACGCTGGCAGTGGGGGGTGGGTGATGCTCTCCACAAAGGCATGTGCACTTAGTCATGAAGCACTATTTCATTAGAGTGTTTTGTTTGTTTGACTGATATGGAGCATAAATCTGAATCTGAAGCAGTTCTGAATGAAAACCCTTAGCGTGTCCCTCCCTAAAAGCTTACATTAAAGCATGAAAGCAGCCTTTATTGATTTCAGGTGCATTAAACTCCTTAATCTCATTCTTTTCTCCAAAGGTAATGGCGAGGGGGAGATGCAGAATAAAGTTAGTGTGAGGCACATTATTCATCATGTGACATTTACAGGATGTGTATTCATTTACTTTACATGGTGGACTTAATGACGGGGGTGGACCTACACATGTGCGGCTGCAGGTAGGGGCTCGGCTGCACACCACGCAGGTAGCGAATGCCTCCTTCCATTTATTGTCTCCTGCATGCAGACTCTGCTGTGCTTCCTCCAGGATGAAGCCTATTGTCCAAACACTCGCCTCTACGGGAGCAAAATGCTTCTGCAAAAACTATTGATTTCTGTGTGTGCCACATGGGGAGAGAAAGGTGAAGAGAGAATGCCACCTCGTTTCCTCAAATAGTCTGCTCCCTGCAGCTTCTTTAGGGATGCACAGACTTTGTGTGTGTGTGTGTGTGTGTGTGTGTGTGTGTGTGTGTGTGTGTGTGTGTGTGTGGGTGTGTGTGTGTGTGTGTGTGTGTGTGTGTGTGTGTATGTGTGTGTGTGTGTGGGTGTTCTCATGCATACTTTCAAGAAACTTTGTATTTGCTGTGGGGCAACTGATCCCAGAGGATTCGAGACCTTTGGCCAACTGACTCTGAGGAGAAATTGGTCCTTTTCTGTACCTGAAGTATTTCAGCCGCGTTTCTGATTTTAGAGATATTTGTATTTGCTGTCGTTTAAAGATTAGAGCAGTCATTAGCCACTTGGTTGGTTGGTGGTTCAATTCCTCACTTACATGTCAAAGTTTGCCTGCATTCAATTCCCAAACAGAATAGATAAATAGATGAATGTAAATTACAGAGAAGCCAAAATCCAGTTAAAATAGATGTCAGTTATGTAAAGCACTGTCCTGAGATGTAGCTGCCATGGTTTAACGGTCAAACTTACTTATGTGCAACCTGTGACCTAGGGCGTGAAATAGTCCTAGAGCATCTCTCAGCCTCCTCAAATAAATACAAAACAATTAAATGTACACTTATTACAATCTTTAAGGCTTTGCTAAATGAAATATTAAAACCTACTCACTTTTTAAACCTGTTTTTAAAGAGCATACTGTCCATGTTTTAGGCTGAAATTTGACAAAATTCTTCTTTGCTAGAATTGGTCATAATATTGGCAGAACTAGACAATAAATTTTAGATTTGAAATATTTTACAAATAGACAGTGGTCTTTAAAAAACAGCTGAAGACTCAGCTGTTCAAGCTGGCTTTTGTATGACCTTCTTCACCACTCTCTCTTTATTCTGCTCTCCCCACCTATTCCACCTTCCTCAGGATCCACTGATTTCCCTCTTTCCTGTTCACTCTCTCTCTTTCTAAACATTTTTTATTTTAAATTCCAAATGCCTATTTTTTGCTCATTTTAAATATATTTTTAAACATTTTATATATGCTTTTTTATATTTTTACATTTTTTTTGTTTTTGTGAAGCGCCTCGTGATTTTTATCTTGAGAGGCGCTATAGAAATGATATTTTCTTCTTCTTCAACTGCCCACCCACCCACACACACACACATACACATACTGCCCCCCCCCATGCACGCGCACACACCTCCAACAGCCCACCCACACACATACAGAACCCCCACCACCACCACCACCATGCACGCACACACACCTCCACACAGTTCTTTTGTCTTTCAACAGATCACATTTCTACTTGATGTTTTATATCATGATAAAAGTAAAAAAAAATCATCCTTCCTTCAGATGATGATAATGATTATTATTATTATTATGATTATTATTATTATTTCACACATTTAAAATCTGTATTTTATGTAAGT